CCAACCTCTGTCCTACTGCTCGACACACGCCCTTCCTTCAAGTCCCCAGGCGCCCCACCTTAGTTTCCAAATACAGAAACCCACGCGGAAACCATGTCTCTACACAATCATGTCACACTCAGTGCCCGAGGCTGCCATGCGTGTTCCAGGACCTCGCCATCGCCCCCCAGAACTCACCTCTCTGCCTGAACTGGTATAATTGCCGCCCCCTCCATCCCGCTCTCCGCGGCTCACAGGTCTCGCTCGTCCCACTAAATGGTGAAAGCCTCGTGCCCCGTTAACCTCTGAAGCTCCAGTGCCCACTACATTCCTGACCCTCGGTCATCAGGAGATTCAACAAGCCTTTTCCAAACGAACATGTGCAGGTCGCCCTGCCTCGGCGTGGGCTTGGAGAGCTCTGCTAAGGCCCCGGAAATAGCAGGTCATGCTGGTCCAAGAGACCTGAACCTGGGAAAGGGATCCAATCTGGCATCTGCCCAAAGCTAAGAGTTCCGATGGTGCAAACGTTTCCTTTAAGACAGAAGCTGCTGTTCCCAACGTCCCGGCCAGAGAATCACCTGTGGAATTAGGGCTCTCCCTGACCCCCAGGCCACTGGGCAAGCAGGCACTTCACCGCTGGGAACGACCACGTGACCTCCCACTGACCACTGTCTCCATCAGCTTTCCCCCGGGAGCCAGGGAGCCACCCAGGGGCCGAGTTTCCTGGAGAAAGGCTGCCTCCGGGCTCCCCATCAGGGGCCAGGCTGCGGTTCCATCCGGGCAGGGCTGGTGTGGGTTTCGTTGTGTGTTTTTAAGAGAGAACACAGTGACCTGGACGCTGTTCGTCTCACCTGTGCTTTCCCTACGTTCACAAGTAGAGAAGCAAATGAGATGACTGGAATTCCTGGGTACCCATACAATAAACGGCTTTCTTAAAACAACGGGCACTGTCAAATTCTGAGATTTCCAGTCCTAAAATGGTCAGGTCTGAATTAATCTTAAACACAAAAACCCCCAGAGTTTTAGACAACGTGTAAAGGAGGAATTCACCCAGCCCCCGGGGAAAAAAGCTGAGTCTAAACAATAGCGGTTTTTAATTCTTGCCTCTTGACCTTTGGTTAACAATGAATGTTGTTGTACGTAAAAGGAAAATAGTTTCGACTTCCTTTTTATCTCTTATGAGAGACATGGTTGATTATAATACATACTCAGAAAAAAGTAATTAATATACATTAGGATTCATTAGGATTTAATGGTTCTTCACAAAGTTCTAAACTAAGAATTCTCATTATAAAAAAGTTTTCTTCAAAGTTTATATAAATCTAGGTAATACACAACTAAATTAATATATGGTATGAATAAGAGATAGCAAAAAAAAGTGCCTTAGAGATTGGTTTGGACAGTATTCAGTCTCATTTTACAGATTTAGAATAAGGGAAAGTGACCAATCTAAGTTGACATGTTTGGTTAATACAACTAGAATCAGAACTCAGAACTTTCAACTCCAAGTTTACAATAGTAATCCTTTTCCTATAGGTCTATTTGTTTCTTCTCAGACCATACAATAATCTCAAATTATCTTCCTGCATATAAGCAATATACCTTTATTTTTTTCCTGAGTAGACTTCTCACAGATAACGCATCATCTATCATTTTTAAAATATATATTTAACAGCTAGTAGCTCCATTTGAAAATGAAATGTATTTTAATAAACACTTACTTTATAATTATTCAAAGTGTGTGTATACATTTTGGGGAACTCCTTATAGTTGCATACCTTGACAATGCCTCCGTAAGTTACCTGTTTTATTTTATTTTTTTTCAGAAAACTAAATTATAATGGATATAATAAGTCCATCTCCTGTTATCTATTCCTTAGTGGTATCAAATCCACTCAAAGTACTGTTGATAAAATTATGAGTAAGGGAATGAAAAGTCACGTTGAAATCAACATTGATATTCCATAAATTTCTCACCAAATCTACCAACATTTGATAAGGAACCCCATATTTTTAAAAATGTAATATTGTAGTAAGAAAACTCAATACTGACTCTGAGTGGTATCATTCAGTTTCAGCATAAGTATTGAAGGATTCGGGGTGGGGGGAGCTCTACACTTATATTAAACATTTATATTTTTAAAATTTCAATGTTAAGTTCTTTGTCTAAAGACAATTAAGCTATAAATGCTCAATAGAAGATTCCACATTCTTTATTCCACCTCTGCCTGGTTTTAATCTTTATTTCCTTCTCTTTAATATTTCATCTTTAATTCCTTCTAACCTTTATTTCCGTCTCCTTAATACTCAATCTTTCATTCCTCCTGGTTTTAATCTTTATTTCCTTCTCACTAATTCTTGTGCTGTGCAAACAGTATCACACAGGGAGCCTTTCTCTTCCCCCAAGTGCTTTTCACTTTCATCTTTTGCACTGAGTTTCAATGTACGAATTTGGGGGATTTTAGTCGAGAAATAAACGCTCCTCTGTTATGCATATAATTAAATATTGAACAATCCCTGCAGAAAATATATTTTCTAAAGGCCAATCTTATGATTTAGAAAAGTTAAATACATGTAAGGAAAACAGGGATGCAGGATTCATTCTGTTATAAAATATCTTGTTTCTGTTCTGTAATTTGGTCCTCACTCCAGGTTATAAGAATATATATTTTTTAAGTTTTCAGAATACAAAGTATAAAATTATATTTGCATTTCTGGGACATAAGAAATCACAATATACTATTTGGCCAACAGAATATCTTAAGTGAATTTACATTTTTGATATAACGGACATAGTAACTGAAACCAATAAGTAAATTATAATTTACCTTTTCACCTTTAGAGCCCTTGAGACCTCTGACACCGTCTGCTCCCTGTGGAATAAATTAGAAAAAGTAAATGACTGTACTATTTTACATTGAAATTAAGTGATGTGGGAAAAAACAGCATTTACCTTCACTCCTCTGGGGCCGGGATAGCCAATAGGCCCCTGTGGGCCAGGCGGACCCTGAAACACACCCATTGGAAATTAAATAAGGAAACATCCCGAGCACTGCTTATGTTATAATTTACCAGATAATCTACAAGAATATGCTCTTTTCCACCACTGACATAGATTTCTTGGGTAGTTTATTTCTAAAGTCAGAAATGATAAATAAACCATGTGACTAGCCCTACTTATCCCAAACGTATCATGTCATATATTCATGCTAAAAATAAGATAAATATTGTGAGTATGTGAAGTGATGTAATAATTATATAATTAATAACTAATTTTCTAAACCTGAAAAAAAAATCTGATGTCCTCAGTGGCTAAAATAGACAATTACAGATTAACCAAGAGGATCAATAATTTCTAACCAACAACTCTGTATAAATGTGTAGCGTTCATATCATTAAGAATATGATCAAAATGATGTCTTTTCCATAGCTGGTTTCATGGCACCAGTCTACATAAAGGAAACAATATGTTATATATAATATACAATTTCTGCAGGAATGCTGAGTATTTTAATAAGAATCCAAAACTAACAACTCTAAATAAGAATGATCCTGCCCTTGCTACTATAACCCAAAATAGTATTAACACTGAGTAAGTTTTATTTAGATATTTTGATAATTGTTGCTCTTACAGTCCATCTCTGCTTCTTTAAGAGTAGCCAGAAAGTAGTAAGTGACGATGAAGTTTGAGTGACATAAACAGTCTAACGATATTCCGTCATTCTGGTCCAAGTTCACTATCATAATTCATGGTCATTTACTCCACATTTACTACATATGCAGAATGCGGATTTATTTCTGACCATGAGAACAATTTTAAAAAACAGAAAATGCATTCTAACAAACGGGCTAATACAACACTAAAAGTTACCTAATATGTATCTGTTTATTATATCCTAAACAAAAACAATTGTAGGAACATGCCATATTTAAATGGTAGCAAACATTCTTTTGGAAATGAAGACATGTCTACAGGTGGAGATGAATTAGTCTCTGGTCCTTATTTTCTAACCGTCATGTCCCTAAGCAATCATGCATCACATATGCATCACATATGCTTCGCCGAGATGACGAGCGCAGGCATGTTCTCCGGAGGAGAGGGGAGGGCGTTTCCAGGAGGCTGTGTAACGTACCAGAGCACCCTTATCTCCAGACTGGCCTTCCTTCCCAGGGTGACCCTATTCAGCAAAAAGATATACTGGTAAGACGCAGAAGGAAAGGCAGTACACGATACTATTACATTTTATTTTCAAAATATTGAGATATTACTTATTATGTTTCAAAACAAATGGAACATTTTGCATCCATGTGCACGGCCTTAAATAACATTGAAAACTGTGGCATTTGCATAGATGCAAGTTTTTTCAGCTACACAATATATTTGAGAGAGCTTGGGAAAAACACATAAGATGATACATATTATTATTCATCAATAATTCAACCTCAGTGTCAATTCGTCTTACGTAATTAGTCAGATTTCAATCTGACTTCTATTTTGCATATTGATCAATTAATCAGACATGCATCGTCAAAGGGGAACTAAGGCATGTGGGTGGGAGCTTGAAAATGCAGCAAGATCATCAATAATACTAATAGTGTCAATAATCAAGTTATTGAAAATTAATAAATAAAAACATGCAGCTCCATCACCATTATAATCAATAAACACAAGTAGAGGCGGAATGAAAAATGTACCGTAGCTCTGAGTGAGAAGCTGTAATATACGGAGACGGAAGAACATCTGACCTTGGGTGGGGGGCACACGGGGCAATGTACAGGCCCTGTGTCATAGAGACCCACACCTGAGCCTATACGACCCTACTAACCAATGTCACCCAATACATTTAATTTAAAAAAAGAGGTTTGAAGAGGAAAAAAGAAGCATCAATAACAAATTCTTAAGAATTCCATTACTGATTGCTATGCAATAAACATTGCAATTTTTTTTGAGAAAAGGAGGGACTCCCTGGAGCTGAGGAAATTAAGGACTGGTGAGGAAGCCCACCCGGACTCCCATGAAAAGGTAGAGAGGATGCAGGTGCTTTCTGTGGAAAGGAACGGACCCCGTGAAGAAAGGTGACAGTGGCAAGGCTCAGAGCCCGGGGCAGAAAGGGCGTGGTGAGCCGTGTGAGACTCTGAGCTGGAGCACCAGGTTCTCCAAAGACCACGGCAAACCAGTGAAGAGATCTGCCATGGGGAAGTGACACGGTGAAGGGTATTGGAGCTCCACGTTTAATTTCTGCCTCAGATTGCTTGTATTCCTGAACTCATGAACCCCGTCAGGCACACGGGAAGCTGTCTGTGAAGATAACAGAGGGGTGGGGAGCAGGGAACTGTTACTCACAGGAGGCCCGTCAGCACCCGGGAGGCCCGCGAGCCCAGGTTTGCCTTGAGGTCCCTAACCAAACAGAAAGAGAAAGTGTTAGTTTCAAAAGTGAAAATGAGGAAAAGGCTGACTTTGTACATAGGAACCTACTACTGATAAAATTCTTGAGTCACTGGTTTTTATACATAAGCCACACACACATAAATACTTTTGAACATATGATGTATAAAATGGTACGAAGAGATAATGAAAACCTAACTCAGCAGATGTAAAAAGAAACATGCTAATTTCGGGCCTGCTTACTGATCCTCAATGTGTCTATTTAATTTTTAAATTTTTTTAAAATTTATCTTTATTGACTCACAGGAGGCAGCTGGTCAATGATTCTGTCTCATCATTGATGTTTCCATCTCTCTCTCCCTCTCCCTTCCTCTCTGAAATCAATAAAAAGGTATTTTTTTTTTAAAAAAGAACAAGGATATAGCAGGAATGCTGGGTGGTGGACATAGCTGAGGTGTTTCCATTCTCAGTGTTTAGGAAAGCCATGGTATTCATGTAGACCAAGCATGTCAAACTCAAAGGCTAACACAGGCCAAATAAATGAGGCATGTAGCCCGAGGCCCTCGAATTTGACATGCTTGATAGACTGATAGTGAAGAGTTTTACAAGACCTGACTTAAATCTCTACCCAACAACAAAAGATGAAAGATAACCTTCAACTTGAACAATCTGATTTTATAACTAAGGTTAATGACATCTCATTTAAAACTTTCAATCCCCTGTCACTTTTAGCTGAGTAATTGAACATTATGTAAGAACTATTATAAAACACTGTATTTTCAATGAAAGTATTTTGACTGTTACTGAAATTATCTTTTGCTATCAAGACAATGGTCTTATTTCTTAAGAACAAAATGTAGAGGTCTAGTGCAGACTATTCCATTAATTATTACAGGTGTAATACTTCTATGTATGGCAAGGACCCTGTGGGCATTACTGCACGAATGCTTTGTTGTTGCTACATATTTAAAGGAACACTACACATATTCGAACTCTTGTACTAGCCCTGGCGGGTAGCTGAGTTGGTTAGAGTGTTGTCCCCATACACTATGGTTGTGGGTTCCATCCCTGGTCAGGGCACATATAAGAATCAACCAATGAGTGCATCAATGAGTGGGACAACAAATCGAACATAAACTCCTGCACCCCAGTCCTTTGAACTAACAGTCATCCAGAAATTGCACCACCTAAGCGCACTATCTAACCTTGTTATTTTGAGTCAAGGAAGTACTTTCCTTGGGAAATCCTATGCCTGTGAAGCCAACCTTATCCTTCACATGTCTGAATGCCTGACCCCCAACCTC